TAGTTTTGCTCACTGCGCTTGCGTACCTAGAATTCACAGGGGGTGCAGCTGGAACCCTAGCGATGCTGATTGGATGCAGAGGGAGCGCACGGCTCTCACCGTCTATGTTGTGTGCAATCAGCACACGCTGCCCTTGCTTTAAGCGTGTGTCACTTTAGTAATGCTGGTAGGAAAAAACCCTACACAGATGGAAAAAATGGAATCTGGCAACCCTGCGTGTGGGGCAATGGTAAACAGAATGTCTCACGGCCCACACACAATACCCCAGTGGGCCGCAGATTGCCCACCACTGTGTTAAACCAATTTTGTATCACAGTGCTCGTGAACCAGGCAGCTGAAATAAGTTTGCACAGGCAATCTCTGGCATTTTGAGTGCTTGACTTTGCAACCTTAACTTTCTTATAATGTTGTCTTGTTGGCTGTGTCTAGACTGGCCAGTTTTTCCAGAAAACCAGCCACTTTTCCGGAAAAACGTGCCAGCTGTCTACACTGGCCACTTGAATTTCCGCAAAAGCACTGACTTCCTACTGTAAGAAATCAATGCTTTTTGAGGAAATACTATGCTGCTCCCGTTCGGGCAAAAGTCCCTTTTGCGAAAAAGGGCCTGTGTAGACAGCTGAGATTTGTTTTCCGCAAAAAAGCCCCGATCGCGAAAATGGCCATCGGGGCTTTTTTGTGCAAAAACCCATCTAGATTGGCCACGGACGCTTTTCCGCAAAAAGTGCTTTTGTGGAAAAGCGTCCGTGCCAATCTAGACGCTCTGTTCCGAAAATGCTTTTAACGGAAAACTTTTCCGTTAAAAGCATTTCCGGAAAATCATGCCAGTCTAGACGTAGCCTTTGGGTGTAACACATCAATAAACTGGGGTGGGAATACAAAGCTCTCGGAAGTCAGAACATTTCAAAAGTGAACACACTGGCAGCAGTCTTAACCCAGCTGTGATGCAACGTGCTATATTTCATTGATATAATCCCATTTTCAGGAAACAAGGAAAACAAAACAAAGTACTATGTACAAACAATGCCACTCAATTAACTTCCTGAGAACTACTGTGGCTTGCAGAATTTCCTGACTCTTGACTGCTTGAGGTTAAATTTGTAACGGTAACACAATACTTTTCGCATTGATGCATTCTTAAAAAAGCAGAACATATCAACAGAGAACCAAGCTCCCATCACCCTGACGTTTAGAACAAACTGGTCCAAGCGCAAGTTCTGGAGGCTGCAACAATGGATTGCATGGAGAGTTGTTGGTTTCCACTCTGGGTAGATTTCAAGTAAGCAGCGGACTCTCTGCATATGCAAGGCATGCCCCAGGACCAGCTGTACTGGTGGGATGATTCCATCCAGTCCCGAAATATGCACGGAGTGTGGCATGTTGCAGGAGCTCAGGTGTCGTGTACGGTAGGCAGCTACGATTTACCACTTCACCTCACTGACAGCCCTTCCATGAATCTCTCCTCTGGAGAACACCGGAGAGCATGGAATGCAGAGCTCCACCCTCTTTAAAAAAATTAACATGATTCAACAAAATGGTATCAGAGCTCCTTGGCTAAAACATTTTTCCCATTATCAATAGCTGCACTGCGATTTCTTTGTTCCTTTGACTTGCCTTTATTTTGCATTTGGAAGGAAGGTAGCCTGCCTTGTGTACAGTGGTTAAAGAGAGAGACTTTGGGGGTGACAAACGGTCACTTTTCCCAAACGCTGGCTATTTGCAGAGCAGGACTAATCAGAGTTCAATCAGTTAGCTTGCACTACTGTGTATTTCACAAGGCTGGGAGAAATAAGACTTGTTAATGTCTTAGTGTGCAGGATTATGACCCTCCTCTTAAAGTTAGGGGAGATCCTCATCTGGATCTGGCCCCTGAGGGGGGTTGGGGGCCCCCCCCCCCCCAGCATTGAGGAGACCTCACCGTGCGGCCTGGGACTGATTTTTCAGTGGGTCAGTGGTTCCCGACCCAAAAAGTTTCCCCACCCCTGTTCTAAAGGCCTAAGTGAAATACTCCAGCTAAATGTTTTAGGACCAGTGCCTGCCAAAAAGGTTCACTGACATTTTATACTTTAGTGCCATTTGTATCAGAGGGGTAGCTGTGTTAGTCTGAATCTGCAAGAACGAGAAGTCCTGGGGCACTTTATAGACTAACAGATATATTGGAGCATCAACTTTCGTGGGCAAGTGGGTCTTTGCCCACGAAAGCTGATGCTCCAATAGATCTTTACTGCCACTGTGGCTACAGTAAGTACAGAAGGATGGTTAAATAATTTCTGCCTTGTTACAATAAGTCATAGCACAGCACCGTGTCCTGCCAGTGTTTTATCTGTCTGCTATGGTACCTACATGTTAATTTCCGGCGCTGCTTCCTTGAGCACACGCATGCAGCGTACACAACGGAGGGACAGGCGCACGTATGTACATAACCGTTGAGTACAGGCTGTACAACACAGAGATGCAATAAAGCATGTGCTGTTTGATTTGTTTGAGTGACTGGTTCTGTCCCAGTGTTGATCCACATGTATATCAGGAAGGCTGCATGCCTTGGTAGGAGGCAGCCAGAGTTTGACAGCTCAGAGGTTGCTGATGGCGAGCAGCACTTGATAATGGCGAGAAGTTACAGTTTTATTTTTATCCTTTTGTTAAAACACATTACATTTGGTCCCATTTCCCTCCCCTCTCTTCTCTTGTTTGGTAGCTTTTTGCTCTCTATTGTAGCTAAACTAAGAATTGTACCCTCCTTAGTGCGTCTCCTTGTACGAGCCAGTAATAGGGACGGTGGGAGCTCACATGAGGGATTCTACACTAACCAGTCACTGAGGACCAGAAGAAAGGATCTCAGCGGGGGGAGGCGAGTTTTGTACAAAGGAGAACACTTTTGGCTCATGCAGACAACTGATCCAAGCAGGAAAAAAAAAAATCACAGAAGAACAGGCAGAGTGCTTTGGATTTACCTTGATGCCATCAACTTGCTATTACTTTGTAGCCATCGCCTTACATGGTGGGGCGGTGGAGCCAGTTGGATACAATAGCCTCCAAGCACAAAGTGAGGCTAAACCAACTCTAGCTGGCAGCATGAAATGCATGTCAATGCCTAGCACATCTTCTGTGGAAGATTTAACACAGGAGACAGAAAACTGAGAAAAGCAAAGAGTTTGTATTTATGTAAAAAATTTATTTCAGTGGAGGATTTAAACATCAACATGCAGGTACAACATGAATAAAAATTATTGCACCGCTATTATGTGGCAAATGTTCAAGTTTCTAAAAACACTTAAATTCCACGTCTTCCTCTTATCTAGCCAAGTGCTGAGTAACACAACTCGACACCAGAGCCCAGCTTCAAAGCCGCCCGGGCAGCCGCCTGGATATGATAATTGAACACAACGTAAACACACACGTCTGTCAAAGTCTTCCAGTAGAAGTACAGCATTATCCTTCACATCCAGTACGAGAAAACCAGAGAAACAAGACTTTATCCTCCCCGGGCAGGAAGCAATAAAATCTACATCACACTTTAATGCAGTGTGGGTGTCGAGACCACAGGTCATTCCTTTTGCCCATTCCCCAACAAGCATTCTTTAGGATACTGGATGTTAAAAGCCTCTGGCATTCAACCCCAGGAGTGGTGATTACAATGCTACAGACTAATATTTACAATAAATATTCGTTTGTCTTAGATGCTACAGTGAAAAGGCCAGGGGAAAAGAACACTAAAAGGAAACTGGGTATAAAAAAAGGATTACAAATATGGGACTTATATATGGTAAATTTCAAAACCAAAATGAGTCAAAGAAAAACAAAAAACCCTCACAATCAAACCCACTCATGAAAAAAAAAACCCACCAAAAAAAACCCCAACAAACCAACCCTCAGGAAAACACACACACACACACACACACACACACACACACACACACACACACACCCCTCCCCTTCTCCAATTCGGGCTTAATTGTGGCAATCAGACTTAGTCTGCAACATGTTCTGCCGAGCTAGAATGACTTTCAACTTGCCCTCTGCACAACCATGTTAACATACCACCCGAACACCCACCCACACAGATACTGATTCCAACATCTGCCCCCACCTCCCCAATCTCTAAGATGGGATGAGATGACTGTTTCCGTAAATTATGTTTTTGTTTCTCAGACAGCCAGTGATAACTGGCATCCGTCTGGTTCATCATCACAATTTTGTATGGCAATCTTCTTTCAGCTTTTCCCAAGAGCTTTTCTAAAAGATGCCAGAGTCATTTCAATTAACAGTAGGGGGACTGTGCATACTCGGGAGATGCCTAATTTGACAAGGGATAGGAACCAAGGAGCTGTGCACCAGTAATGGGTATTTTCCTGGTAACACCAGCCTACAAGGGCGTTCAAATGACAGCCTTCTAAAATTGAACCTAGTGTTTTACACCTGCTATATAGAAGTCGGGTGGCTAAATATGCTCCTTACGCTTTCTTTGGCCAAACACTACTTTGGTGCCTTCATGAAAAAGCTGAAATGTGTCCGGCTCCTTCGCTCTCCTCTTCTGCTCAGCAGGGATTACTGAGGGAACGATAAGACTGAAATTCTCTGGAATTAGATTTATTTTCAAAGACAGGAGAGGCAAGGTGCTGAAGCGTGTATTCTCCAGACTGCAGCAGTGTGCTAGGCTTTCTTTCTCGGAGCTTCCATGGTAACCGCCCAGAGGTAGCATTGGCCCTACCTATCCGAGCAGAGTCACAATGCCCTTAGTAGGAATTGACAGACCATTAGACGCAGTGCTGTTTATTCTCACAAAACATTATACTGCCTTATTTTTCATGGGCAATTTGTTATCCCCCCAACCAATGAGTGCCCATAGGAGAGGGATGGTTCACACAAAGACCATCTGGGTTATATCTACATATAAATTATCCCACATGGTAGCTAGGTGTGCTTTGTATACAACTTTTATATCCAAGACAAACATTACAGAGCACGCCCACCACACGGTTATCCCCATGGTACAAATTCATATCTTACAAGGAATTAAATTTAATAGGTTTTCCAAAAAATCAGGCATTTTTAGGGGGTTAGTTTCAGACGATGCCCATTTTATTTTAGTCTGATTGCCAGCTGGAACTTTCTTCTTCAAAACTTCCTAATGGATCAACTCACGAGGAAGAAAACCAGTCAGATCAGATAGCAGCAGCAAAACCTGCACTTACTTATTGTCATGAAATCAACACATGAAGACATGTTTATCCAAATAGAGAGTGCTTCAAGAGGCTGGCAAGTGAAGCGCTCTGATTGGGCGAATCAAGGGTTTGTAATTGTCAATCGCCACCTATGTGCACCTGACTAGCTCATGTGTTCCAGAGCAAGGCTCAAAGAGACAGTAGGTCTACCATTAACTGCCGGGGCTATTGATCCATTACTTGGGAGTGGTGATGCTTCAGCTAGTGCATTAAGAAGCCTGTTCATTCTTAACAACATTACAGTAAACGCGTGTGCACACACAAAGTAAACAGTTACTTGAATATAAAAATAACCTCAAAACAAAAGTTGGTCCAGAAATGAAATCTCGGCATCCAAAATCACTTACAGAATGACAAAATGGTTCTAGAGAAAAAGGCAGGCCAAGAAATCCAGAGATGCTTGGTATATATGCATCAGGAATTGAAGAAGTCTGAGAGAGTGTCAGGAAAAAGTGTATTCCTACACCAAAGATATGGGTAGGGAACATAAGTAGACATTCAAAGTGCAGAAGAGGTTTTTATAATGGAAAACAGCCGGATAATGAAATTGGACCAATAGATGCAGCTCTTCAACAGGTGCACTGCTGCCAAGTACAGTCGCCATTCAGAAATGTTCCTCTCCAAGAAGACCAATTAATTGGGTCACTAGCTATTGCAGGCTTTCCAAGCACAGAGAGACTCTGTTAGACAAGGTTGGAGTGAAAGCCAAGAGCATTCTATGATGAATGACAGTAGCATTCTTTGACAATAGGCTAGTCAGGAAATGGCTCAGAATGCCAGAGAGATGTTATACTACATATTTGTCAGCATTTTATTACAGATCTAATCATCCCAAAATAATGTGATTCAGAACTGGTCACATTTCAAGCACAGAAATGCTAGAAACCAGGGGATCGTACAAATTTTTAATAAAACCAGGGGAACTGAGAAGTGGAAATGGTCTAGCTACCGAAGGTAAAATCTTGAACTATCGTGTGTGTTGTTTTGAAGTCTGGTTGCCGCTCATCCACATCACTTGATGAGTTAAAGGGAACAACATTTTAGAGTACTCTCTAAGAAGACAGGCAAAGTCAGAACCCTTGCTGGGTTTCTCAAGCTCTGTTTCAGAACTGGCAGAAATACTTAAAACTCCCCCAGAATTACTGAGAGCCGTCCTAAGAGGGAGAGGTCGCTCGTGCTGATATGCCATGAAGTTAACATAGTTTGAGGGTGCTACATGTATCCGCATTATTATTTTAAACACAACTGTGTCCCTCCTGGTGGGGTCACTGTTTGTTCCGGATCAGGGCAGACTAGAAAGAAGGCAGGTAAAAGGGGAGAAAACACAATTAAAATGTTAAAAGATGGAGGAGAGAGGTGCCATGTGTCCTGTAAAACAAAGTAAAAATAAACATGCTACAGATCGGACACTAGTTTCTTTGAGCTTCCATTTGAGAGAAAGTTTTAAAAAAATGAGTTAAAAAAATATAGGGCTGTTCTCTGTACTCCAAACTGACAATGTAGCAGCAATGAACTCTAAGATAGATATGCGTGGGACTGGAGGATATGTAAAGTGACAGAGAAAGAAAAGGATCTGAGTTGCACTGAAGAAGGCTTGAATTTCGAATAACCTATTAACAATTTTTTTTTCCTCCTTGCCATAGAGAAACTGGCTTGTAAATAACTGAAAATTTGGGAAGAAACAGATGCAATGTGAAAGAGAAAGTTGAAAAGCGAGAGAGGTTTTAACGTCAGCTGCCTATTTTGCACAAAGTAGTTCTTTGGGATCTGAATAAATGCAAAACTGGCGGGAAATGCCCAGCACAGCCCAAACTGAGGGCAAACCAAAGTAAAAAAAAGTCAGCAAACTATTTCATAGTTATGCTTTAAAGATACCCTGTTCCAAAGAGACCTCAAGTGGCAAGCACGTCATGTACAAAAATAGAATTGCAAAGATGAAAAAAAGGCAAAAAAGCAGTATGAAAAAACAACCCTCCCAAAAATAGATGTCCACGGTCCTATTCTGTATTAGTGTATATTACAAAATCCAAACATGCCGTCTCTGTTTCTGAATGTAGAGTACTCAAGTGCACGTATCCAGGGCTCCTGCTATGCTTTCTTTACAACGCTGTCTTGCGACAATGGAAAGTCTTGTATCTTTAATTGACTTCCCGCCTCTTTGCTGTTTCCCAGCATCAGAGTCTCCTCTTTACAGAGCTGCAGGCTGTCCGCTGGCAGAGGAGATGCCCTAGGACTTTGAATTTCCAGGGTATGTGGTAGATCTTTTGATGGAGACGTTTTCCTGTTATCTCCTATGGCTTCAAGTGGTTGAGAACTGCCAAAACCTGGTTCTTTCTTTGCTGTCAGGGAACAGGACAGCTCCCAAGACTTTGCTGGACTTGTTGGCTCTGTGTAGGGTGCACAGGTGTTCAGATTGTCTGTGCTAAGAAGTTTCTCTCTGTCTTGATCTTCTCCCATCTTTAACGTTTCCTGCTTTCTTTGTTTGGAATCTTTCTTACAAGTTGGGTCCGTTTGGGGGAACTCAAGATCTGCTTCCAACTTTCTAGTACCTGACATGCCAAGCTTCACTGGGCCCAAGACGCTTTGAGCGACCGTTGGTAACGGAGACACCGAAAGGGCCATTTCACCAGCAATTGGGCCGTAGGGAGTTGAAGGTGAAGCACCCATTGCATCCCTTGGGCTCATTTTCCTGGCATTTAATGGATTCTTGCCCTCTGCCGACTCCTCTGCCTGGCACGGGCTTTGCGGTTTTTCAGCAGCTGGACTTTTTGGAGACGTTTCGTTTACAGTGGCCGGATGTTGCCATTGGCTGCTTTGTTCTGCAGCTCGAAGTTCCTGCCTGCAATCTGTTACTCTGCAGTCCGTTTGGCTTAGCGATACAGGAGAGTTCCTATCTGCTGTGCAACAAGAAGGAAGTGCTGGTGAAGGGTTAGGATCTTGCTTTTTTTGACTGATTTCTGTCAACACAGATTCCTTTGGAGCATCTTTACCATGCGTGACCCCAGAAGGGTGGTTTTTCTCAAACTGAATGAACCTCCCAGGGGGGCTCTTTGTATCTTCCATGCAACGGATACTTTCCCCCCCAGTGTATCTGATGCTCTCTTCCTGAACGGTTTTGCTTTCTGGCAATTTAGGCTCTTTTGCTAGCGGTGGCTTTTCATATTTGCCACATTCTCCTGGAGACGTTCTGGTGAGGATCTTGGACTGTGACTGAGGCATGCTAGTTGGCAGCATCTCTGAGACAGCCCTTGGAGGCTGATTAGTTGCCTTCTGCAAGTCGGCTGTACCTTTTGGATCGTCAGTGAGAAAAGCATCATCCTCCAGACTGTCTTTGCTTTCCAGTTTGGAAGAAAACTTATCATTAAAGGAGTCGGAGCCCTTTTCTCCTCTGAAGGGTTGCCTCTCCAATCTTCTCCCATCTTGACTATCCTCTGAACCATCATCCGTTTCATCTTCGGAGGAATCTACTTCCCTAATAGCCTCTTGTTTTTGTAGTGACTCTCTCCTCTCGACTCTGTCTTGTCGAATAGCACCTAGCTTCCTGGAAGATGGCTTTTGCAGTGTCCCTTTTTCCGCTAGCCCAACTTTACCACCTGTTGTTTCATTCGCAGACTCCTGCAAACTTTGGAGACTAGGATCCCTTTGTAGCATCTCCTTCTTAAATTCAGAGTGGGAGATATCCAAGCTATGTTTGCGAGAGGAAGCCAGCTTCTTTTCAGAGGACAGCGAGGCAGCCAGTTTCTCAGCTGACTGGACTCTCTTCAGCAAAGGAGACCTGGGGGGCTCAGCACTTTTGGGTCTGGAGATCTGTCTTACTAGAGGCGGGGAGGAATGTAACTTGACAGGAAAAGACTGAATAATACTGGAGCTGCCTACAGAATGTCCTGGCAAAGGTGAAGGTGAACGCTGTGGCGATGTGGACTGTGGGGTTGGTGAGGGAGTGTGGGCTAGTGGTGAGAGAGGGATGTTTCCTGCAGATTTACGCCGTGGAGATCTATACTGTCGTTGAAGCTTTGGGGCTAGTCCATGCAAAGAACTCGGTCGGATGTGTCCAGAGCTGGCTGGAGAGTTGGGGACACTGGAACTGGGGGAGCTGCTTTGGGAAGAATTTCCACCAACTTTGGGGGGGGGGGGAGAGAAAGGGATATTTTAATTTTATAAACAAACATTCATGCAATGCTTGTACAATGGCAAGAGCAGTTCGTTGCCACATTACCCCAGGTATTAAAGCAAAGCTATTACAAGGTGGCACATTGCTGTTTCCAGTAGAGCTACCATCTCACTGTCACATAATCAGTACCAGAAAATACTACAGGCTATTTCACAGGAACTCAGTGAGAAAACGTTCCGTTACTACTGCATCAAACCATATGTATGTAAAACCGGGCACTTTATTGGTGTTGTCGTTGGGATGCAAGTTTATTTATTCTCTGTCCACTGGCCAAATTCACACTAGGATTTTTTCGACAAATTTAACTATTTTGCTCTTGTGTATTCTAAAAAAAAAAAGTCAAAATACTGTGGAAAGACCATAATTTACACCAGGCGGGTGCATCGTATGTACGTGCAGTATGTGGCAGCTTAATGTCTGCACTGCTAAGATGCCCTCAGCTGCACAATGAACAAAGACTTCCCCCTCTCCCCCCCGTAATTAAACTTTTATCTTCCCAAAGCAAAATAAGACGTACAGAGCAACGGCTGCTTTGAAGTTCAAATAAATGTAAACTCAGTATTTGGTTAGTAGCTGTTCTGCATTTAACTTAAAAAAAATGAAGACATTAAAAATTAACCTCCTCCTCCACTCCCCTCCCCCCACAAAAAGGTCTTTTACCTGAATGTACAGACTCAGGAGTAGATCTGTAGCTCTGTGTAGGTGACCGAGGGGACAGGTTGTGGGTTGGAGAACCAGGAACGCTTTCCCCAGAGGACAGAGAGCGGTTAAGTGAAGATAAGCTGCGGCTGGTGTGCAGCAAGGATGCCTGCTTTGTGATCTTCCTGAACAAAGAACTCTTCTTCTTACTGGGATAAGGAATGAAAAGTTACTCATTTGTGAAACCAAAAGATATATTTGCTTACAGGTAAGTCTCCCTCACTCAATGTAGGGGCACAATGTAAATAACATGCCCTGATACAAACTTATTACATGGAAATTGCTCCGACAAGATCTACCTACCTTGAGAACATTTAATCTTCACAGCAAAAAATGAAACAAAACAAAATCTAACTCACCTTTCTTGCCCATCTTTAGCTTTGCTTTTCTTGTTCCTCCGAGCCATCTTGGATTTGTAGCTGGGCTTCCGAGCTGGCCCAACTTTGATTGATGTGTTCTCAAAAGGGGAAGTAGAGATAGATACCTTGTTTCCACTCTGTTAGATTAGGGAGATGGCATTTGTTTAGACTAAGATTGCTTTTGGCAGTTGTAGGTGTTGAGCAAGTGGATTGCTAATTCATCACAGGCTATGTTTTACTCCTCTGACTAATCCCCTTTCCCTCTGAGACTTCATCTAGCATGGGGAGATGGATTTCTTTAGTCAGGCTTTCACAACAGATTAAATCTTGGTTTCCTAGCTAACTAGTACAGCTGCATGGAACAGAAGTAGCATGGGATTTAACCTCTCTTACTGAGATCCTGAATGCCTCAATTTATGTCTTGTACGGCACCAAGATATCATGGAGATGGGTGCTTGCTACCAATGAGAACCACAACAACCATCTTCCTTCTAGAAATTCAGCCAAAGTAGGTTCTTTGGTACCCAAACCTGTTCCCTACTTATGTGTCTGACCCTTTCTTCACGCTGATAGATGGACAGATACACTGAGATGCATCAGGAATCCATCAGCATGAATCTGCGTTGACTGTCTGAAAGCATTAGCTTGTTGTCCTCAACACTTATAAGATGAATCCCTCATTTCTTTCATGTCTGCCACGCCTTCCCCCAAAGGCCTGATTCTTGGGACTGATAAAACGTTCATTTTATTTTCATAAATATACTCGGCACAGGAGGAGGTATCAAATACAAGTCATTTAGCTAAATATTTCCAAGACCAGTTGTTCTAAAAGCCTCTTTTAAATACTGCTGATAATAATCCTTGAGAAAATAGTATTAAGAACTAAACATTAGCTGTTTAGAGCACAAACAAAAATTGGGAAAAATTGGAGGGTATTTGTTAAAATGATACTGGGCATTACTACAGTTACACCATATTAACCTGTTGACTGCTTCCAAATTCACCATCCACGTCAAACAAATGAGCATGTCTTATGTCAACCGTACTCTTATTTTCCACAATCATTAATGGATTGTCAGTTTAAGGTGGAACAAGACAGTTCTGGAGACACCGGGATTGTGATTAAAGCAAAGGATTTTTGCAAGGCAAATATTAGGAACCAGGTATTTAACTTACATTTAAAATGCTCCTCTGCCAAACTGATACTAAAGTAGTTTCTAGTTCTGTCCTGTCCACATTCTGTAACACAAGCATGTTGTGGCCTTACCTTAAGGATCAGTTCCACCACTTCAGTATGCACCAGACCATGGACAGGTTCTCCGTTGACATGGGTTATCAGATCCCCTTCCCGCAGACCTGCTTCATTCGCAGGGCCTCCTTCTTCCACATGCTGGCAATGACAGGGAAATGATTACTTATAAATACACAGGAACCTAAGAATAGCGAGACTGGACCAGACCCAAGGTCCACCCAGCCCAGGATGCTATGTCCAGCAGAGACCAATATTAGATACTTCATAGGAAGGCATATGAACCGCAGAATAGAAAATGCAGCAAAATCTGTGCCCCAATACAGGTTTCAGCCCGATCTCCAAGGATACGTCTAATGGATAATGTCCGTTATTCTGACAGAACTATGGGTATGTCTACACTTGCACCCTCTTTCGAGAGAGGGATGAAAATGAAGACATTCGAAATTGCAAATGAAGCCGGGATTTAAATATCCTGTGCTTCATTTGCATATTTGCGTTATGACGCTATTTTCGAAATAGCGCTATTTCAAAATAACAGATGCTGTTAAGACGCGGTTATTTCAAGAGAAAACCCTTCTCTCGAAATAACTGGTAAACCTCATTTTAATGAGGAATAAGGGTTATTTCGAGAGAAGGGTTTTCTCTCGAAATAACTGCATCTTAACAGCGGCTGTTATTCCGAAATAGCGCCATAACGTGAATATGCAAATGATGCACAGGATATTTAAATCCTGGCTTCATTTGCAATTTCTAATGTCTTCATTTGCATCCCTCTCTTGAAAGAGGATGCAAGTGTAGACATACCTTATGCGAGTGTCTACACAGCTAGCCTGTTATTTCAAAATAATTTCTGCGTTTGTAAATCTCATTCCACGAGGAATAATGCCTCTTCAGAAATAGCTATTTCAGAACAGCAGTAGTGTGGATGCTCCACTGCTGCTATTTTGAAATAGCTCCTCCCTGAGGCCATTCAAAGTAATTACTCCCTAGTGCTTCCTGGGGCTCTAAATCGAGGAAGCGTGTCTACATTAGAGGAACGTGCTTCGGACTAATTTCCAGGCTTCCCTGTAATATAGACTCGCTATTTGAAATAAGCTATTTCGGTGTATTTCTTCTGGAATAGCTTATTCAGAAATAATCGTGCCATGTAGACGCAAGCCAAGAGTTAGACATTGGCTTAAACCTGGTACCATAAGGTTAAGTGTGCTTGCAAATTTTTGGTCAACATTAATTATCTCTCTGAATATTCTTGACATGCATATCAATATAAAAAATGTTAAGTCCTTTGAGTTTCAGAATTACGCATCCTGGAGCGCATATGTTAGAAGCTGCCTAAACAGTTCTGTCGCCTCATTACCATTTCTAGTTTCTATCAGACTAGTTTTCCACCACTGAGATTGGACATTTGTGCATCGGACTCCAAATACAGGGTCTTTTCCCACTGTCTATAATTTATCACAGTATTTCTAAACTGTGATGCCCTAATCATCACATACTTTTTTTTCCCCTCCCTGCCATTCCCACCTTAAAGCAGGGGCTTGCAACCTTGAGATGTAACTCAGGCTTGAAATTGTTGCAGAAGCTTTCTCTTCATTGTGGACTGAAGGGGTTGCTAATAAATACAGAATTTTTCAAGAGCAGGCAGAAGGGACCAAGGGAAATCATCACGAGAAAAATCCAAATAGTTTTTCTATTTAATGAACGGCATCAAACAATGATTACCACAGATGAAGGACGGCTCTCTTAATAAGGTCTCCAAAGCAGATACCGAAGTATACTAAGAAACCATTTCCCTCCTTACGCTCTTGCAATTGTAAAAGCAGTGCATTTTAAATAATACACACACACCCCTTTGGGGGGAAAATGATTAAAGTAACAGTCATATACATAGCCAAAGAAAGATCACACAGATCATAATACTGTATAAGGGAAAGGAAGAGAGAAATGGAGCAGACAATAAGATCCCTTAGGATAATAAATGAATGTTGAATTCCTGGACGATCAATGTAAACTGATGGTTTAAGGCATGTAATCAACTCCAGGTGGCTGTTTTAAAAATCCCAGTAGGTTGAATTGATCAGAAGCAAGCTATCACTGCTTCCACAGCTGAGGATGAATTAGCTGTAATTGACCCTCATGTGACCACCAGAACAGAGAGTAAGGGGAGTTGCACAGATATGCACACTTTAATGTTTGCACTTCTGGTAAAAAGAGGCAGACCTACATCACCAGTGGCAGAAGAAGCAGCTGTGATTTTTGTGACAGGGTTGGTTTTTTTGAGTGTTTGTCCATGAAAAGATTCCTTTGGGTCTGAATAAGGAGAGGGGATCCATAGAAGCAAAGGAACGTTTATAGGTTAATCCCAAAAGGAAGACTGTCTGGCCCCGAAGAGCGTTCTTGTTAGAAAACCAGTGACTTACCCAGACCATGTGATGCACGGCGTAGATGTCACTATCCCCCATGTAGACGCGAATAGCACGAAGCGTGAAGCCATATTTCTTCCCAGCCCGGTGGATTGTGATGGGTGGTTTGGGGTTTGTGATAGCAGGAGAAAAGTCTCGGCTTGGTGAGGAGTCCCTTGAAGATGGGTTGGAGGACAGAGAATGAGGGGACATTGGACTCGCCAACGGTGAGCACGTGTGGTGATCTACAGGGATGATACAAAAGGGGTGCAAATTAGAAAGCCTGATCTTCAAAGGGAGACATAACTTGTTAAAATACTAATAGGAAATGAAACCTTCCTTATGTTTTATAAAGCAAACGAAAGCAGCATTAAAAATTCCTTTAGTATCAAATGTATCAGGGTTCATCTCCTGCAGTCTTTTTCATTAATAATTGCTCAGAAAGGTCAAAATCATTTCCCCCCGCCCCCAAAAGCAAGTGCTTGTTAATATGTACTTACTGCTGCGTCGTTGTCTGTCAGCTAGAATTACAGCTGGGTCAGTGTGGCTGTTACAAAAAGCTATTTTCAGGAGGGATTCATTACTCGGCCATAAATATTTGCTCCAGGCAGATCCTGGAGTATACAGTTTCAGTCTGCCAAAGATTGCTTTTCTTTCATTTTATATAGATATATGCTTTTATATAGGAGTTGACAGTTTCTAGATTAGCAAATACACTGTTCAAATAAATAGTAAACACGGCATGCGGCACCTATCTGCCCAATGTAACTCAAAACCAGCCTGGATTTAAAAAATGAAACTTGATACAAAGCTGGATTACAGCTGGATCAAGGGAAGGGTTTCTAATTCAGATGGGGCACAATATTTACAATGCAGGAGTATTGTAATAATTTTAAAATAGTATTACAAATGAGCAGCTGAAGAACCCAGTTCCTCTTTTCAACGGGTCTACTGGCTAAAACCGATTACTTTTACTAATGATTAGCAATCACACGTATTATAAGAGCCTTACTTAACGAAGATAAGCTGATAAAATAATTTACACAACACACACATACAAAATAGTAAGTGACTACACAGCTTCCGTATTCCTCCGTAACAGTGGTTCTCAAACTTTTTGGTCCTGCTCAATGTAGACCTTTCCGCGGACCATCAGCCAACCACCCATGATGACAAAATGGGTTCAAGGAGGGTGAGGGGGTGCGGGATCTGGCCAGGAGCAGGCTAGGAGTGGGGGATCTGGTAAGGAGGGAGGGTGCAGGAACAGGGTAGGGAAGTGGGATCTGGGAGGAAGGGTTCAGGAAGGGGGTGGAGGAAAAGGGTCTGGGCATAAGAGGCACTTATCTGCCACCACTTCCAGGCACCGCACCCCCACTGCTCCCATTGGCCATGATTCCAGCCAATGGGAGCAGCAGGGAAAATCTCCAGGCGAGCGGTTTCTTGTGCTGTTGTCCCCCTCCCTCCCCGCCCCTCCGTCATGGGGGAGGGAGGGTGGCATAGAGAAAACAGCTCACCCCACACTTCCCTGAGGCAGGAAGCCAGCGCTGGCACTTCAACCTCGCGGAATTGGGGAGGAGGGAGGCCATGGGGCTGGAGCATCAGCGCAGGCTCCTCGCTGGGGGGAGGGGGGCAAGCCCTGAGCCCACACCCACATGCAAGATGGTCACGGACCACACTTTGAGAACGGCTGATCTATGAAAAGCACACCAGTAAAGCAAACACCACACTGCAGGAGTATTAAACACCCGTGTAAGAGAGTGACCATTCTGAAACACCCGCTGAGCCATCCAGGTCGTTTTTACCTGACAGAGGTGAACAGTCCTGTCAGAACCTTCGCTGGGTAATGAAATAAGCAATTTTTCACGAGGGAGCTGGTAGATGGAAAATCAACCAAGCCTCAAACCCCAGGAAATGAAATACAAGTCATCACGCTGGTGTCACAGAGCAATCTCCTGGGCTCCCACATGGACAGTGCAGCTTGCATGGCCCTACCAGGATACAGTGCTCGCCTGGCTGCAATTCCCAGGGATGCTCCTGCTGGCTTCCGATGCAGGAACAAGCAAGCCCCTCGGACTTACAGTCAGGCCTTGAGCTCTACAAAGGGGAGATGGGAGGCAGAGGGCACAAAGC